CCATATTCCTTTGAATTCGTATTTTTGTATTCTTTGGGTAAATACCTAGTAGTGCAATTCCTAGATCTTAGGATAGTTCTATTTTTAACTTTTTGAGGAACCTCCATACTGTTTTCCAGAGTGGCTGCACCAGTTTGCATTCCCACCAACAGTGCAAGAGGGTTCCTTTGTCTCCACATCCTCATCAACACCTGTTGTTTCTTGTGTTGTTGAGTTTAGCCACCCTGACAGGTGTGAGGTGACATCTCATTGTAGTTTTGATTTACATTTCCCTGATGATGAATGACGCTGAGCATTTTTTTCATGTGTCTGTTGACCATCTGTATGTCTTCTTCGGAAAAATATCTATTCATGTCTTCTGCCCATTTTTTAATTGGATTATTTATTTTTTGGTACAACACCACTCTGTGACTTTTCCAAGGGGCTTCCAGTCAGGTAAATTCATGGCAGTGCTCTAAGAATAGGACTTTCTGAGGAGCTCCAAACCTGGTCTCCTCTTGAAAGCCTGCTGTTTTTCACAGCTGTTGTGTTTTCCGGGCTTCTGTTTCCAAGGCTAGAGTGGAGCTGGGAAAAGGGGATGACAGTATTTTAAGTTACAAAGACACAAACTGTTCTGTTCCACTGAGATTTAGCTGGTTTGTTATTAAATAAATGTGTTTGCTTTTTTTTGTTTGTTTGTTTTTGTATTTTTTTTAAGAGAGAGAGAGAGAGGGAGTGGGGGAAAGGAAGAGAGAGAGAGAGAGAGAGAGAGACAGAGAGAGAGAGAGAATCTTAAGCTGGCTCCACACTCAGCATGGAGTCTAAAGCAGAACTTGATCCTATGACCCTGAGATCATGATCTGAGCCGAGATCAAGCAAGAATCAGGATGCTTAGCTAACTGAACCACCCAGGCGCCCTTAAATAAATGTTTTGATTATTGGAAGCCTTTGATGGAAAAAAATTTCCAGTCTTATTTCTGAAACTTCTATTCCAGTGACCTATTTATCTGTATACCAATACTGCACTGTCGTAATTCTTGTGGCTTTATAATAAATGCTGAAATAAAGCAGTGTAACTTCTTAAAACATTTTTAAAAAATCAAAATTGTTGACTCATTCTGTATGAATTTTAGAATCAGCTTGCCAATTTATACAAAAAAAAAAAAATCCTGCTCATATTTGGAATGAAATGGAATTGAATATAAATCGATTTAGAGGGAAGTGACATCTTGACAAAATTGATTCTTCTGACCCATGAACAGATTATACATTTCTTCATTTATTTAGAACTTTATTTAAGCAACATTTTGTAATTTTCATTGGATAGGTCTGAAGCATCTTTTGTCAGATTTATTCTTTAGTCGTATCTTTTGACGCTATTAGAAATGATATTTTAAAAATTCAGTTTTCGGTTATTTTTTGCTTGTGTATACAAACACATTTAATTTTGCATATTCATATCCTACAATTTATTAATCCTTCCAGGTCTTATGTAGATTTCATAGCATAGTCTACACAGATGGTCATGTTGTCTGCAAATAAAGACATTTTTCTTTCCCCTTCAATCTGAATGCCATTTATTTCTTTTTGTTGCCATAATGTACTAATTGGATCTTCCAGTATAATATTGAAGTGGTTACAGTGGACATCCTTGCTTTGTTCCTAATAATACTATATGATTAGCTGTAGGTTTTTCATACCTGTCTTTTATCAGGTTCAGAAAGTTCCCCTCCATTTCTAGTTTGCTGAGAGTCTTTATCAGGAATGGATGTTGGATTTTGTCAAGTGCTTTCTCTGCACTGTTGAGATGATCATATAACTTTTCTTTTAAAAGGTGTTCAAATATGGAATTTCATAGAGTTTTTAAAAGAGGTGGATCCAACTTTGTATTCCTTTGATGTTATGTACATTATAATACATTATCCTTTTTTGATGTCATTGTAGGATTCAGTTTGCTAAAATATTTTAAAAACCATTTACATCTATGTTCACGATGAGGAGTGGTTTGTGGGCTTCTTTTTTGGTCGTGTCTTTGTTTTTGACATTTGAATACTGCCGAGCTCAAAGTAAACCAGAAGTGTTATTGACTCTTCAGTTTTCTGGAAGACTATATAAAATCGGTGTTATTTCTCCTAGTGAAGCCATGTGGGCCTGAAGTTTTCTCTTTGGAAGTTTTTCGAGTACAGATTTACTTTATTTAGTATTTACAAGTCTCTTCGGGTTATCTTTTTCTTCTGAGAAGTTTATAGTCAAGGAATTTGCTCATTTTATTCAAATTCTTAAATTTACTGGTATAAAATTGTTCATAAGATTTTCTTATTATCCCTTTAAAATATTTGTAATAAGAGATGTCACCCTCTTTTTTCCTGATCAGTGGCTAGACATATATCAATTTGATGGATTTTCTGAAAGAACTAGTTTTTGGTATCTTTGACTTTATTATTTTTCTGTTTTTTATTTCATCAGTTTTTCTCTCAGATCTTTTGGGTATATATATTTTTTCTAGTTTCTTAAGTGGAAACTGAAGTTAGTAATCTGAGATCTTTTTTCTTCTGTAGACATTTAGTGCTGTCTTCTTTCCTCTAGGTACTGCTGCCAGTGCATGCCACAAGTTTTGATATGTTTTGTTTTCCTTATTCAGGTTAAATTACTTTCTAATTTCCCTTTTTCTTTCTTTTTAACTCATGGGTTATCTAGAAGGGGTTTACATCCTTCAAATATATGGGGAATTTCTAGATTTCTTTCTATTATTGATTTCTAGTTTAGTCCCGTTGTCACCAGGGAACATACTTTGTCTAATTTGAATCCTTTTGAATTTATTGAATATTAGATTATGAACAAGAATATGATAAAATTTTTTGTGTGCACTCAAAAAGAATGTGTCTTCTGCTCTGTTGGGTAGAATTACCTAGAAATATTGATTGCACCAGGGGTGCCTAAGTGGCTCAGTTGGTTAAGCGTCAGAATTCAACTCAGGTCATTATATCACAGTTTGTGAGTTCAAGCCCCGCGTCAGGTTTTGTGCTGACCGCTTGGAGCCTGAAGCCTGCTTCGGATTCTATGTCTCCCTCTCTCTCTTGGCTCTTCCCTGACTCATGCTCTGTCAGTCTCTCTCTCAAAAATAAACATTAAAAACAAGTTAAAAAAATTGATTATGCCAAATTCATTGACAGTGTTCACATCTTTTATATCATTATCATTATATGGCTGTTTTACATGTTCTATCAATTATTGTGAGTATGGTGTTGAAATCTTTGACTGTAATTGTGAGTTTCTTTATTTCTCCTTGAAGTTCTATCAGGTTTTGCTTTATGTATTTTGAAGCACTGTTAGTAGGTGAATAAACATTTAGGATTACTGTGTACCTCTTGATAAATGACTCCTTTATTGTAATGAAGTGGCCATTTTTATCCTGGTAATGTTCTTTACTGTAAAATTGGATAATATAATAATCATTCATACTTTCCTTTGATTAGTATTATGGTAGATATTTTCTCTTTTTTACTTTTAATGTATTTGTGTCTTTATACTTAAAGTGTGTGTATGTGTGAGAGTGTGTGAATAATAGGCAGCATATAGTTGGGTCCTTCTTTCTTTATCCAGTCTAACTATCTTTGCCTTTTGGTTGGGGTATTTAGACCATTAAAATATTTTAATATGATTATTAATACATTTGGGTTTAATTTAGGATCATATTTTATATTCTCTTTGTCCTATAAATTCTTTTCATTTTTGTTTCACTTTTTTGCTGCCTTTTGGATTGAGAATTTTCATAATTCATATTTATCTCCTATGTCTGGCTTATACTAATAACTTGTTTGTTTTTAAAATAGCTGCTCTCAGGATTATGGTATCCATCTTTAACTTACTGCTATCCACTTTTAAGTGATACTATACTATTTCAATTATAGTATAAAAAATTTAGAACAATATGCATCCACTTCTCCTTTATTGAACTTTGCCTTATTGTTCCCATATATTTTACTTCTTTACGTGTTATAAATCTCACAATGCTTTTTAAAAAATTGTTGCTTTAAACATTCAGTTATCTTTAAAGATATTTGAATAATAAAAATTATTTTATAACTACCCATGGAAGAAACATTTCTGAGAATTTATTCCTTTATATAGATTCATTTTTCATCTGATACTATTTTCCTTCTTTATGAAGAACTTCCTTACATATATATATATTTTTTAGCATAGATGTACTGGTGGTGAATTTTTACAGCTTTTATAATTTGAAAAAAACAGTGTTGATTTTGCTCCTGTTTTTGAAAGATATTTTTACTAGATCATGAATTCTAGGTTGGTAATTTTTTCTTTCAGTACTTATCGTTATTTTACTCTTTTCTGGCTTGTATTGTTTTTGACAAGAAGGCTGCATCATTTTTGTGTTTGGTGTAGTTTTTGTCATGTTTTTTTTTTTTTTTCCCCATAGGGTTTATTGTGATTTTGGGATCTGTGTATACATTATTTTAATAAAATCTTGAAAGCCTGTATTTCTTCAAGTACTTTTTATGTTTCACCCACCTCTCTTCTCCTTTTTCTTCAGGAATTTATATTACATGTATTGAAGTTGTCCTGCAGCTAACTAATTTTATTTTGTAAAATTTCTGTTATTTTTCTTTCTGTGTTTAATTCTGGATAGTTTCTAATGCCATGCCTTTAGGTTCACTAATCTTTTTTTCTGTATTGTCAAATCTGCCATTAATCATATCCAGTGTTTTTTTTTAAGTCAACATTGTAGTTTTCATTACTAGAAATTTGATTTAAATTTCATTAAAACCTCTCTTTCATGTCTCTACTCAACATGCTTGATCTAGTATCTTGGACAAATGGAACTGAGTAGTAATAACTATTTTAATTTTTCAATCCATTCTATCATCTGTGTCAATTCTGGGTCAGTTTTGATTGACTGATTATTTTCTTCTTCTTATTGATTGTATTGTCCCACTTCTTTGCACACCTGATAATTTTTTTTTTTTTTTTTTTTTTAAAGAGGGGAAGGAAAGAAAGAGAGGATTTTTTTTTTTTTTCAACGTTTATTTATTTTTGGGACAGAGAGAGACAGAGCATGAACGGGGGAGGGGCAGAGAGAGAGGGAGACACAGAATCGGAAACAGGCTCCAGGCTCTGAGCCATCAGCCCAGAGCCTGACGCGGGGCTCGAACTCCCAGACCGCGAGATCGTGACCTGGCTGAAGTCGGACGCTTAACCGACTGCGCCACCCAGGCGCCCCACACCTGATAATTTTTGATTGAATGCTGGTCATTGTAAATTTTACCATTTTGGGTGCTGGATATTTTTGTATTGTTAAAAATGTTCTTGAACTGTTTGGCCACAAGGTTATTACTTGGAAGTAGTTGGTCTTTTCGGGTTTTGATTTTAAGCTTTATTAGTCATGATCAGAACAAGGTTTTGTATGGGGCCTAGTACGTCCCATCTGGTGGGTCGGAATCATCTGGGTACTTTACCTGATGCCCCATGATTAAGGAGGCTTTTCATTCTGCCTGTTGAAAACATCAAATGTTACTAGCAAGTGTGTGCTCCAGTGGATATTCACTCTAATCCTTTTGGCAGTTTTCACTCTGGCCTTGGCACTTCTTTTTTTTTTAATTTTTTTTTTCAACGTTTTTTATTTATTTTTGGGACAGAGAGAGACAGAGCATGAACGGGGGAGGGGCAGAGAGAGAGGGAGACACAGAATCGGAAACAGGCTCCAGGCTCCGAGCCATCAGCCCAGAGCCCGACGCGGGGCTCGAACTCACGGACCGCGAGATCGTGACCTGGTTGAAGTCGGACGCTTAACCGACTGCGCCACCCAGGCGCCCCTGGCCTTGGCACTTCTAATGTGCTTATGCTAATTGGTACTCAGCTGAAAGCTTAAGGGAGACTTATCTTCAAAGCTCTATCTATCTATACAGTTATAATCCCTTTGGTATTCTGTCCTGCAAACTTATGGTTTACCTGGATTCCCAGCTCTATTTTCTCCATTCAGAGAGAACACTGGGCTTTGCCTGTGTTTCCTCCTTGCAATGTCATGACCTAGAATCTTTCTCTAGGCAGTAACTTGGGAAAATTGTAGGGCTCACCTGTTTTGTTTTCCATCTTTCAAGTATTTCTGTCTTTTGTTCCCTGATGTTCAATGTCTTGAATATTGTTGTTTCATATACATGGTCCATTTTTAAAATTGTTTAGGTGGGAGGCCAAATCCAGTCCATTTTGTACTGAAGTAGATATCTCTCCTGCTACATTAGCACCAAATTTTAGATGGACAGGAAGGGATAAGAGAGGTTAAATAGCTTTCCCAAGGACACACAGCTAGTCGGTGACACAACTGGATTTGTACATAAATCTTTCAGACTTCCAAGATGATATTTTTATTTAAAAAAATGTTTTTAAGTTAATTGATTTATTTTGAGAGAGAAAGAGCACGAGCAAAGGGGAGCAGAGAGAGAGGGGGAGAGAGAGAATTCCAAGCAGGCTCTGCACTGTCAGTACAGAGCCTAGCAGGCCTCAGACTCACAAATCGTGAGATCATGACCTGAGCCGAAACCAAGAGTTGGACACTTAACCAGCTGAGTCACTCAGGTGCCCCCAAGATTATACTTTTAATCATAAAGCCGTTAAAACTCATATATAATATGAATTGATGTATTTTATAATTGATGTGTTTATATGTAGATATTACATTAAAAATCACTGACGAATTTCTCATGGAAATTGCTTTCCCTTTTTCCCTTTTAAAGATACTTGTGAGGAACGTGAAGAAAAAGTAGTTTTAGTTTCATCTGCGTATGAAATTGATGTTCGTTCATGTCTTCTTAACCCGAACGAAAAGAAAGGCACTATAATTTGGTATAAAAATGACAGCAAGACACCTATATCTATGGAAGTAGACTCCAGGATTCATCAGCACAAAGATAAACTTTGGTTTGTTCCCGCTAAGGTAGAGGATTCGGGACATTACTATTGTGCAGTAAGGTAAGAAAGGGATTAATAATGTTACAAACATGTGTTCTGTGTGGCTGCAGTCGTTAAGGATGGAAACATCTTTAATGGTGCTTAATTCACCTATTTTGATTTGTTTTTAGAAATTCAACTTACTGCCTCAAAATTAAAATAGCTATTAAGTTTGTGCAGCATGAACCTAACTTGTGTTACAATGCAGAAGCTATATTTACACAGAAACTACCCATTGCAAGAGATGGACAACTTGTGTGTCCTTATTTGGATTTTTTTAGAGACGAAAAGCATGAGTTACCCAAAATACAGTGGCATAAGGTAATTTTATATTACATATGGTATTTTACTTTTCTGTCAGATAAAATCAGTTTTCTGTCTTGGACCATAGGGTGAATCTGCAGAGGACTTTTTCATGTGACATGTTGTTTGCTTTTGTGTGTGAAACCTATTAGAAATTTTTTTAAAAGTTGTAAGACTACATACATTTAATTTGCAGCTTAATAAAAATCTTACTTTCTCTTAATTTTATTTGATTTAATAAGATTGAGAAAAGTATAGTAGAAATAAAAGATATTTAATGATAAGACTGATTATAAATTTAAGGTTTTTAAGAGATCCCTATTTATCATAAAACATATGTATTTTTGCTTTATTAAAAATATTAAGTGATCCTGAAATAATTTAGTGGTTTCTATGACTATCTTGAAAGTGGATTGGCTAGCACTCCATGGAACACAACACGTTTTTTGGTACTTTCGCTCTACCTAGTTGGTTGGAGCTTATGTGGGGAATCATCTTACAGGGGTGAAGAAATACAAAATAAATAATGTCAATGAAGAAAGGAAGTACAGCATTACTAAGAAAATATGGTGTTAGCATTCTTTCCTCAAACATGTTTTTCTTGCAAATAAATTTGTCTTCACTGTCTTCAAAGTGCAAGGCTCATAGGCATAAACATTTAATCTCCTGGAAATGTAATTGTGAGTATTGCCAAAAACATACTATATTAAAACTTGTATGTAAGGAACATGGTCATACATGTATTCATACATGTGCTCAACTTGTGATCATGTGCCTGGTGCAAAACAGAAGAGAAATAAATAGGCATGTGAGATTATTTTTGTAAATTCTCCTGAGGTTTTCAATTCACATATGTATGAATATATATGAACATAAATATGCATGTATACATATGTGTGTGTGTGTGTATACACATACATACACATAAATAGACACATTTGTAAAACATTTACCAATGTGAAAAAACAGAGTTTCTTTTGCTGGTAGGCAGGGGGAATTTATTAATTGGTTTTCAATACTCCCTTCCTCTCCCTCTGTCTAGGATTGCAAACCTCTGCTACTTGACAATGTGAACTTTACTGGACTGACAAATAGACTCATCATGACGAATGTGACTGCAGCACATAAGGGGAACTATACTTGTCAAGCATCCTATACATACTTGGGAAAGCAGTATCGTATTACCCGGGTTATAGAACTTCTCACTCTAGGTGAGTCATAGCTCCAGTCCTAGGAGTTTGAACCTGGGAAGGCCCAGAAATCATGATTCTAGTATTCCCTTCGTTGTTAATGGAAGAGCTAAACCCAAGAGCAGCTTGGTGACTTGCCAAATGTCACATGGCTGTTAGTTTAGTCTTTGTTGCTAATACCACGTCTGTGTTTTGCATTCCTGCCTCAGATGCAGGGCTAATTCGACCAACAGTTAAGAGCTGTTTTCCAATGGAAGCAAGAGGCTTGTTCTTTGGCATGGCTAAAGATGGTTCTTCCAGAGAGCTCTGGAGTTCCCTGTGGCTGGCTGGTGTATGAGGAAGAGTAGTTCCAAGGTCTTTCGCTTAGGGAGTCTGAGTGTGTAGCAGTGAGGGTTGTTGGTGTGATGGGGTGGACGCTGATGGGCTTTGGAACACGTTGCACTCCCAGAGCACGCTCTACCTCTTGTTAGTTTCTTGTTAGCTTGCCTGACCTCTCTAAGCCTGTTTCCTCCTCTGTAATGGGATACAACCTTCCAAGACTGTTGGGGAGATCAGCAATCAGGTATGCTCAACGTGTGGTCATGTGCCTGGTGCAGAACAGAGGAGAAGTAAAAAGGTGTATGATGATTTTTCTAGTAAATCTTCTCGAGGCTTTCAATTCTCTATTAACTATGTTTCCCCTAGAAGCTATTTTACAAGAAAATGCACTCCTACATTACCTGGGGATGGGCAGAATGTTCAACCTTTCTGTGTCAGATTTCGTAAGCTTTCAGTAATAGAAGAGTTACTTTAACCAGGACTTTAAAAGTTAAAGGAGTCTTATTAGTAATTATAGTAATTATGCTGGGACAAGAGGCAAAAATGGGGACTATCTCAGGTAATTCCAAAATATGATCACCCTACCTATAGCTACGTGTTCTCAATCATCTAATAATTTATATTTTTTAAACGTTAATTTTATTGAATCAAAATTAATTCCTTGCCCACATCCTACAAGCACCAGTGCATTATAATTTCCAGCAGTCTTTATATCACTACCATCCTGAGATTTTAGCAGCTTCTCTCTGGCCATTGTGTAGCTCTGGCTTGTCTTTCTTGACATACGGCAACCAGAGCGGCAGACAGAATTTTAGAGAGAACTAGGGAATTTTTTAGATAGGTCAAATATATTTTAAATACCCTCTGTCTCATTTTCTGATCCCTTCTATAGAAATAATATACTTCATCAGAGATGAGGTCATATTTTGTTTTCATAAAGGCAGATTCAAAAATATTAATTGAGCATCTACTCTATGCCAGGCACACTGTTCTAGGTATATGTCAGGGGACAAAAGAGACAATATCCTGCTCTGATGGAGTTTGCTTTGTTGTTGTTGTTGTTTTTGTTTTTTTGCCTTTTGTGTTTTGTTTTGTTTTGACTATGGTGGAATCCTGGCCATTCCAGCTCATAGTTTCTCAGGCTTGGCTACAGATCAACCTTTGAAGTCCGTCTTCTTGTAAATAAAACTCAGATGGATTTCTGGAGCTCCTTAATACTTGGCCACCCTTTTTAATAAATGATGCCAAATTTCTTGGCACTCCACTCTTGGGTCATTACTAAAATTATGAAATACAAGCAGGTCTAGCACTGGACGGTCCTTCTGGTTAATCATGCTTCATCCACAGAAGTACCTTGCCACAGCTACTTGCTTTTCCTGATTTGCTTTAGGAAGAGGCACTGGTCTGGAGTCCTGGTGATATGTGTGTTTGTAGCACCAAATTTGATGGACTCAGCAGGGCCCAGGCTTTCTGGCAGGCGTTCATGGTTTTGCCGTGGCCTCTGTGGTGGCCTCCTCCTTTCACTTCTTGCCCTCTCTCTCCTGCCATATATGCGCTGGGCTCTCAGGGGAATATCTGGCCAGACTCCATGTGATATATTTTGGTATATTTTGCTAACTGTTGTCATCCGCTGAGATTCTGCTCTGTAAGAGACTAAGAACCCCTGCTGATGTTTGTCTTTCAGAGGAAGACAAGCCTGTGAAGCCTATAATTGTGAGTCCAACTAATGAGACAATGGAAGCAAGTCTGGGTAAGTGGTCTCCAATCAGAATATGCTGAAATCATTATTTTGAACTCAAGATTAAGATAAACTCTGCCTTTACTACACATAACCTAAATTATTTACTGAATATACCTACCATTAGTGGGAAAGTGGCACAGATTATGTCTTTAAATGTTTCTTTGGATTTCCTGCCTCTCAGGACAAAAATCTAGCCTTGTCTGATTTGTCCACCCCCACTCTCCTGTGGATACTTATTACCCATGGAAACACTAGCCAAAGACCAAGTTGAAAAGGACTAGAAATGAGAAGTATAATTTATCTGACTGGTACAGGATGGATTTCTTATGACCAGAGCTAAGTTTTCAGGCAGAAGAATAAGAGAAGAGACCAAAAAGGATAAGTTTTTTTTTCTAGGATGACCATCAAGTCAGTGAAAATTTTTTATTTCAGGAACAAAGACATAATCCTATAAGCATCCAGACCTAAACTATACAATGCGATAGCCACCAGCAATATGTGACTATGTACATGTAAATTTAAATTAAGTAAATTAGTTAATTTAGTTCAATTAAAAATTAGTTCTTCAGTCGTGGTAGCCATATTTCAAGGGCTTAATAACCATATGTGACAAGTGATTACTGCATTAGCACAAATATAGAACATTTCTGCTGTCACTGAAAATTTTATGGAAAACCACTGGCCCAAACATAAAAACAGATTTTTGTATCAGAGGATCAAACACCAGGCTGGCATATAAAGTTCTCTTCTGTGAAACTAACTGCATGAAGACCGTGAATAGTTGTACAGAGATTAGAAGGTAAAAGTTTGGGACCAATGGATGCTGTATGTGTCCAAGCAGTTATTAATGGTGGGAGGTAATATAAAGGCATTCACAGGTATAAAAAAACAAAGATGTGAAAACTCACAATTACATATAAGCCAATATAGAATCTAGAGCAGTATTCTAGTAATCTAGAGCAATGCTTTTTTGTTTCTCCTCATTACTGCTCCCCTGTAGAGCCTAAAAAGGCATTCACCCTACCCCCACCCTATCTTCTTCCCTTCATTGTATATCTGTTGATGTACCGTGCACTTTGCAGGGTCACAAACCATTGCAATATCTAAGGATTTTCTTGCCCAAGATCCACTTTTTGCCCTGGTGGCCATAGCCTCTGTTAAGAATTCTTGTTCTAGATGTGTACACTTTAGAGCTCTATAGTTTAGGTGACATTGATCTCCAAATCTAAAAGTAGCTTCATATTCAGAAACATATTTTAATATATCATATGTTATTATATTTTAATGTATCATGTTGGTCTGATGCACCCATCACCCTGTCCTATGATTACCCTGTAGGTCTAATAGGCATTTGATAAGATTCAATACAAATTACCAGTAAAATAACTTAGGAACTGAGGGATACTTCCTTAACTTAATAAATAACATCAGTTCAAACCAGTAGTCACTAACATTCTTCATGGTGAGCCACTGTTGTGTTAGACCTTCTACAGGTATAGACCCCCTCACTGAAGTCAAGAGCAAGACAAAGATGCCCACATAACCAGCATTACTTAACATATTTCAGAAGTGCCCACCGATACAACCATAAGTAAAGGAACCAAGTCATGCTTACTGTAAGGGAGAAAATGACTTTATTATTAAAATTAGAATTAATATATTACTAATTGGCCAGATATAAAATTAATATTCTAGGTATAGCAGAAGTCCCTCCAGCTGTGGTGGTGTGCTGTGGGGAAGAGATAGATTTGTGAATCCCAGAGCGAAGGCCTACTTCTCCAAGGCCACTGCTGTGAGGAGGAGACCCTGGGTGAAGCCATCATCACTATGTCTGACCAGCAGTCAAAGCCTTCAAGTGGGGACTTGCGGGATAAGAAGGAAAGAGCATACATTAAACTCAGAGTCGTTGGCCAGGATCGCAGTGAGATTCACTTTGAAGTGAAGAGGACAGACAACGTGTCTCAAGAAACACCAAGAACCATACTGTCAAAGACTGGGAGTTCCAGTGAATTCACTCAGGCTTCTCTTCAAAGGTCAGAGAATTGCTGATAATCACAGTCGGAAGGAGTTGGGAATGGAGGAAGAAGAAGTGATTGAGGTTTATCAGGATATCAGGAGCAAATAGGGTCCTTCAGCAGTTTAGATATTCTTTTTATCTTTCCTTCTTTCCCGTCAGTCCCTTTTTACTTTTAAAAACAGTTCTTTTGTGGCGTTCAAGATGGAACTGAAGACTGTCACCTCACCTCGTTAAAACCTCTGGTAATTTGAGTTCTGGTGTCCATTAGTCATTATCATTTGTTTTCATGGTGCTGATTTTTAGTAATCGAGCCTCAGTCTCCTTCCTTTGCCCTCTCCTTTTTATAAATTACGTGTGTGCACAGAGGGGCCATCTTTTCCAGGACCATGCTTCTTCAGGCTTGTGGTGAATAAGACCGACGTGAGTGTTCATACTGGCTTTCCAATTGGACCTGAAGTTCCAGCATGTGATTGTTTCCCTCCTGACTTGTGGCTTTCAGTGGGAGATGGAAGTTTCTCAGAGAAATGAGCTGTGGCAAAATGGCCTTTCCTTAATTTAAAGCTGCTTTTAAAATCTGGGGGTCTGACCCCAAAGAAGAGGAATAGCAGGTTGGCGTCGAGGTGGCATAGAGATGGTGAGAATAGTGACTGACTCCAAAGATGGTGTCACTGAAGAGAAAGCATTTTAAGATTAAAGAAAAATCTTGTCAGAAGATCCCCGAAAAGTTCTGCTTTTCATAAGCAGTCAGTAAAGTTATTCATACACAAGTGTATACCACAGAACACTGCACTTTTTAATTTTATTTGTACTTTTTGGCCTGGGGATATGGGTTTTAAATGGACATTGTCTATAACAACTTCATTAAAATACATAAAATGCTTGTAACAAAATCAATATTCTAAAAATGGTGAACTTGTTTGGCAGTAACCAACTAGAAAACATAATGGGGAAAGAGATCCTGTTTGCAACATGTCATAGAGATGTCTATAGTTTCTTGGCAAAATCTTTTAAAAATAAATAGGATTTAGAGGGGAGAAAAAAATTCTGACATATAAATATCAGGAAAATTGAGATTTAAAGCATGCATATTGACAAGGAGTGGGAGCTATGTTGTTTCCAGTGGGGATAAAATTGGTATTTAGAGGAAAAAAATTTCAATCAACAGATATGTCTGTGGTATTAAAAATTCATGGGGAGGTAGTCAATTAGGGTAAAAATGTCTAAAAAGACTCAAAAGGGAGCAATAATGGAAACAGTCTTGAGAAACGCCAATTTAAGGAAAACTTTAATAGAAATGTATGTTTTTCCTGTATGGAAAACTAGAGATTGTAAAGATATCAACTCTTAAAATTGTAGTTTTACTTTTTTAAAATTTTTTAAATGGTTATTTGTTTTTGAGAGAGAGAGGGACACATAGAGTGTGAGCATGGGAGGGGCAGAGAGAGAGGGAGACAGAGAAGGCTCCAGGCTCTGAGCTGTCAGTACAGAGCCCCATGCAGGGCTCGAACCCAGAGCTGTGAGATCATGACCTGAGTTGAAGGTGGATGCTTATCCAACTGGGCCACCCAGGATCCCCTAAAGTTATAGTTTTAATGGAATTCTGACAAAAATATGAATGGGCTCAAAAGTTTGCAAGTGATTCTTAAATTCACCCAGAATATTAAAATGATGAGATTATTAAAATAGTATTGACAAGAAGAGCTCTAAATAATACCAATGTTTACCCTAAAACTATAGTAATTAAGATTGTGGTACCCTTGACATCAGTATACACATTTAGCTCAACCAATAAAGTCCCAAATAATTTATTTTATGACAAAAGTGGCATTACAAATTATTATCCAATAAGGGGTTCTGAAATTATAAATGAGCTATTTGGATAAGAACATGAAGTTAAATCTCTCCCTCACACCATACCCAATTACATTCTAGGCAGAGTAAAGAACTAAAACAGTCAGAACAATGAAAACATTATATACCTCAATGAAAATGTCCTTGGGTATTTTCCTGATTTGGTGCTAAAGCTTTTAGAAAAAATTGTGAAAACATATAAAACAGAAATTTGACCAAAAAAGGGGAGAGAGGGAGGGAGGGAGGGAGGGAGAGAGAGAGAGAGAGAGAGAGAGAGAGAGAGAGAGAGAGAAATATCAAAGAATATCCATAGACAGAAATAAAACAAAAGCAACAAACTCTGAAAGTTATTTGGAATAGTTTTCATGTATGATAAAACATTAATATCCTCAGTGAATAAAGAGCTCCCATACAGCAGTGGAGTTAATATGAGAAGCAATTAAATAATGGACAGTAAGCATAACAAACAGTTCTTAAAAACAAACCGATACTGAACTTATAAAAGATGTCCATTCACCATGATTTCAAGAAATGCAGAAACGTTTTTGGTTTTTTTTTTGAAGTTTCTTTCTTTATTATTTTGAGAGAGAGAGAGAGAGAGAGGCAGGGAAGGGCAGAGAGAAAGAATCCCAAGCAGGCTCCACACTGTCTGTGCAGAGCCTGATGTGGGGCTCAACTCACAAAGCATGAGCCAACATGAAGAGTCAGACGCTTAACTGTCTGAGCCACCCAGGTATCCCAAGAAATTCACACAAAAATTTAAATGGAATTTTTAATTCTCTCATTGGACAATGACTAAGCAAATATATTTGGAATCTGGGGGCTTGGGGGTGAGATAGCATTCACATACCCTGCTGGACAAAGTGTAGATATGTACAGTCTCATTTGGAAGAGGGAGGATGAGTTTTTAAATATGTTTATCTCTTAATTCTACTTCCAGATATAAAGTAATACTTCAGGATATGTATAATATTGATGCACAAGGGTGTTCATTAGAATATTAATCCTAATAATGAAAAATTAGAAGCAAATTGTGTTTAGCAATAGAAAAGCCATTAGTCATAGTAGATCTGTATTACAGAATACTAAGCAGCCATGAAATGGCCTCTTTTGGAAGGCTGATCATGTGAGCTGAAGTTCCCAGTATACAATATTTATAAATAGTAGACAATGTTTCATTTTAAAAATTTCACGTATACACAAAGAATGAGATACATGAAGTTACTAATCACGGTTCTCTCCGAGTGGTAGGTTTAAGGGCAATTTTTCTTTCTCTTTGTACTTTTCTATAATTTAAAATTTTTAATCAATAGCCATTTACTAATCTAGATAGATCAGATAAAAATCAATAGCTCTGATTAAAAATACATTGCTTTGCAGGATCCAGGCTACAGTTGATCTGCAATGTCAGTGGCCAGTTGAGTGACTTTGTCTACTGGAAGTGGAATGGGTCATTAATTGATGAAGACGACCCAGTGTTGGTGGAGGATTATTTGCCGTAAGTATACTAAAAGCCTATCGTGCAACCGAGAAGTTTTGGTATTACACTTCATATCATGCTTTATACAACCTTGATGGTTTCATTGAATAGCAAGAGTTAGTTGTCAGTTGACTGGCCCTTGACCCTTTGCTGCCCATATTGAGTTTTGCTGAGCTAAACAGGATTTATAAGAACTTACACACTTAAGGTGAAAATACATGTCCTCGTGGTGTAAATTCCGAACACTTGGAAGGCATTCTCTTGACCATAGGTAGATGTGTTACAGAATTCTAATGAAGCAACTTTCCTGAATTACCCTTCATGATATTCCGGGTTTTTAAGAGCAGTTTAGGAAAGACTCATTAGGTGGGCCAAGAGCCTGGCACTCTACCTCTCAAGTCTCTAGTGGCTTTCTGATTCCTCTCTAGGGATCAGCTCCTGACTCCTTAGCATTCTCCTTGGTCATCTGTCCCAATCTCCTGTTTCGTGCGTTCTTCTCAGTGCCCCATGGTGACTAGCATGTGCATCCATTTTTTTCTTCTTGGAAGCTGATAATTTTAACATGATCTCTGCTACTGAATCTTTCACTGACTGTGGTCTTTGGGCTATAAAATCTCAGATCAGTGTTGCCAACAGCCCGATTATTATCCCTGTGCTTAGGGCTGGTGATAACTTCTGCTGTAATTCATGTGGCGAATTAAGAGATAAACCATGTGTATATGTCTCAGTTGTAGTAGTTTTACTCAAACAACTTCATGTATTCTCTTTCTTTTGAACAGAGTGGAAAATCCTTCAACCAAAAGAAAGAACACAATCATCACAGTACTTAATATTTCAGAAGTGGAAAGTAGATTTTATCTATATCCATTTACCTGTGTAGCCAAGAATACAGATGGTATAAATTCAGCATATATCCAATTGATACATCCAGGTAAACAACAAAATATTTGAAATGAAGTTTTGGTTTCCTGTTGCAAGATTCCATGATTTTGAGATTTGCAATGCTATTTCCTCTGCTTAGAAGCTCTTGGATTCCTCTTAACCTGGCAAATTTCTATTCTTTCACTTGTCAGCTGAACTACTTCTAGGAAGCTTTCTGTCTTGCTGTCTGCTCTTAACAAGCTCTCTGCCCAAAGAGACAAGGTTAGTGTCTCTGTTACATACTTCAGAGAACCCCATGTCCCTGTCACAGTATCTGTCATACTTAGTTTTCTTTCCTTGACTTAAATTCTGTGATGGTGCTGACCATTTATCTTACCATTCATTCTATATCCAGAGCTAGTAGTGACTTAAATCTGGCATATCATAGGTATCTGATGAATATTTTTAGGTAAATGGCAGAATAATGGATGAACAGGGGAAGCCTAAATATCCACTTTGCAGAAAGGAAGTCAGAAATCACTAGTTCTCTTCAACTGTGTAATCGAACACAGTATTGAAAATCTTTGTGTAATATTTTGATTGTTTGTAGTTGAATTAAAAATAGGGTATTTATAAATGTGTACATGGAGGAAAATTTAAAAACCTATAGACAAATTATTAGAATTAGTAAATGAATTTAGCAAGATCACTGGTCTTTCCGTCTATATATAAACATATGCATATATGTGCATATATATGGTATTTCTATGTATGTCTATTAATACCAACAACAAACAGAAACTAAATTTAGAAGATTACATTTACAGTAGTATCAACAATTATCAAATACTGAGGAATAAGTCTAGCAAAGTCTGTTCAAAAGTGTGATACAAACTAAAAAAGAAAAAACATTATTGAGATAAATTAGAGAAGACCTAAGGTTATACAATGTTCATAGATTGTAAGACTCAGTATTATAAAGGTATCAGTTCTCCCCAAATGAATCTATGGATTCAAAAAAATTCCAATCCAAATTTCAACAGTATTTGTGCAAGTGTGGGTATGTGTTTGGGTGGGTGTGTTGTTGTGGGCAGGTTTATTCTAAAAGTCACATGGAAATGCAAAAGAACAAGAATAATCAAGGTGGCCTTGAATAAAAACAAGAAATCTGGAAGATTTACACTACAGGTATCATGATCTTGTGTGAAGCTACACTAATTAAGGCTGTAAATGTGAACTGTTCATTGGGCCAACTGGATATTAGTCTGGAAAATGTGCAATCCTGATTTCTGTTTCATACCCGAATCAACTACGGATGGATCAAAGACCCAAACTGGGAAAGTAGAGTGATGCAACTGTTAGATTTCTCTTTTCTGCATGGCCCTTGTCATTTAGAAGCCACTGTCTTCTTTCTTCTCTACACCACACCCCATTACCCCTCCTTCACCTTACTTCTCTGTCCCTCCTCCGCTGTAATCTTTGGATGAATAATTAGAGTGGAGCTGAGAGAGTGTGGAAGAGTGAAACATACTGTATGGCATCCCTAAGCCCTTTCTTTCCTTACCCCCAAACTTCAGCTTTCCCCAGCTAACTCTTGTACCTCCAGAAACTTTTGTAGGCTTTTGTGTGACTTTGACTTGTTTTACTCTGAAGTGCTCTATCCCATGGTCTTTGGCATTTTTTTCTATGTTATTGTATACAGTGCACCCTTGAACAACATGGGAATTAGGAGCACCAACACCCCCATTCCCAGTCAAAAATTTGAGTATAAATTTGACTTCCCCAAACTTAACTACTAATAGTCTACTGTTGACCGGAAACGTGATGGATAACATGAACCGTTGATTAACACATACTTTGTATGTTGTATGTATTACATACTGTATTCTTATAATAAAGTAAGCTAGAAAAAAGAAAGTGCTATTAAGAAAATCATAAGGAAAATACATTTACAGTATGGTATTGTAAAAAAAAAAAAAACCAAAATGCATATAAATGGACTCACACAGTTCAAACCTGTATTGTTAAAGGGTCAACTGTATTATAAGATTTAGGTGGAAATTTAATACAATGCACCTCAGTTTTATACAGTATCAATTCTAGATGGCTTTGTACATTAGTATGCGTTACTAAGTTGTGATAATGAATAGGTTAATATTATCAGGGATTTGGGATTGCAGGCCAATCCCAAAAATGGTTTCTCTGGGATGATGATATTTAATTTGGTATGCTCAAATTTTTAATTCTTTTGATTCTAATATATTTTTTCCCTCTTTTCTGCCATAGTCCCTGATTTCAAGAAGCACACAATTGGTGTGTTTGTCATGTTAACTCTAGTAATTACATGCTCTGTTTTCATCTACAAAATCTTCAAGGTTGACATTGTGCTTTGGTACAGGGATTCTTGCTATGATTTTCTCCCTCCAAAAGGTACAACTTTGTATTCTATGCAATATTTCCTTGTTGGAGATAAGGGGTAGTCAAGCGATGTAGAAGATGGCTGAGAGGGTGTTTACTTAAATTTTAAAATGAAATGTGGCATATGCAAGAATAGTAGCTATTCTTGTACATAATTATAGTTTTGGAACTGAATAGACTAAATAGCATTGTTTTCCAGGTTACTGCTTTAGTGTTCATAATGGTGGGGTAGACAGGCATTGAGAGCATCTGTTTGTAAATCCAATATGCATTGTTGAGGGCCTGCTCCATGCTGGTTAGGACATAGATGACCCCATGATCTGTCTTCAAAAGAAAGAAATAATGATTTTCATGTGTCAGGGAACGTCTCGCTTTCTCTTTTGTTTAAATCTTGCAAAAAAAAAAAAAAACCCAATACTGCAATAATACATAAAAGGAAGAATGATAGAATTCAGGGCCAAGACACTGGGGAAGAAGATAAGACCAGTGAGGTAAGGATAGTTCCCAGACCAAGAGATAGACAATCTCTGCACCTGAGGTGGCCATTCAACAACATAAGAACACCTTCATAGTGTAAAGCACAATAAATAGAAACTTGTAGATGAACACTTTAAAAAGTTGTTGTACTTTGGCATTGCTGCTTCATTCATACCATCCCCCACACAAAATTAATAAGTCATTCCGAAATGCATGTTTGGGGTATTGACTTTACCAAATCTTTTGGTCCAGATAGATTGGATCCAAATACATCTAAATATTTTACTTTCCCCTCTAGCTTCAGATGGAAAGACCTATGATGCATATATACTATATCCAAAGACCCTTGGGGAAGGGTCCACCTCAAACTCAGATATTTTTGTGTTTAAAGTCTTGCCTGAGGTCTTGGAAAAACAGTGTGGATATAAGCTGTTCATTTATGGAAGGGACGCCTATGTTGGGGAAGGTATGTGTGTCACGGAAAAAAAAAAAAAAAAAAAAAAACCAGTCTGGTTGTAAAAATAATTGCTAAAGCTAGGTTTCATCTTTCTAGAAGAACTGTGGCATAGGTGTATATATTTGGCAGTGTTAAGAACTCCCCAGTGGTTGGTAGTGATGATTTCCACATCTATTAACTGCAAAAAGTACTTACTTTTCTTGTATTTTGTTGGCACAAGAATTGACGAAGTTTTATTTAGTTTTGGAAAACTTCAGAACTAGTTAGATCCACTGGTTACTTTACAACTGAGACAGTAAAATAAGAGTGGAAGAGATCAAATGGTTTAAGGCTTTAAAGTTTATACCAGGAGTATTCTGAGTTCTAAGTGAAATATTCAGCTTTTGTGGGCCAGGTGTTAAGCTGGTCTATAAAATCAGAAGCTTCTTTAATCTTAATTAGGATGAGAAAAAAACATTGTACGACATAGGGGATGGGGGTCGGGTCTTGGTTTGGGAGAGAATGATTATAAATTGAAATTTTACTTACTCTGCTGGGCTTCCTGTTTTCAGACATTGTTGACGTCACTAATGAAAACATAAAGAAAAGCAGAAGACTGATCATCGTTTTGGTCCCAGAGGCATCAGGATTGGGCTGGCTGGAGAATTCATCTGAAGAGCAGATAGCAATGTACAATGCTTTCATTCAGGATGGGATTAAAGTTGTCCTGCTTGAACTGGAGACGATCCAAGACTATGAGAAAATGCCAGAAACCATTAAATTCATTAAGCGGAAACATGGGGCCATACGCTGGTCAGGGGACTTTAGAGAGGGCATGCAGTCTGCAAAGACAAGGTTCTGGAAGAATGTCAGGTACCACATGCCCGTCCAGCGGCAGCCACCTTCATCCAAACACCAGTTACTGTCCTTGGCCATGAGACCAGACTCGAAGAAAAAGCTTCAGAGGGAGGTGCATGTGCCTCTCGGGTAGCAGGGGGAAGCTTGGCCAAGAGTTCCTTGGGTGACTCCTGTCTTCTGGCATTGCAGGCCAGGCTGTGCCCTCACTGACTGTACAGTCATAAAATGCACGTGTAGAGTCTCTTATCCTTGAGGTCACCTGGAATCGGATTGCTCAGGGAGCAGGATGTGGTGACAATAGCAGGTCAGGGCAATTCAGAACCGAGAGCTTGGCAGTCCTTTTTAAAAGGCAACAAATGCCCTGTCCAAATGTTTGAACTGCTGAGAACAGGCACCAGGACAGCAAATGAGAGGAAAGAACAATCAGGAAATATTTATCATCTATAAATGTTTTTATGGAGCTGTCCACAGTCCAAGGAGGGTGGATGTGACCCAGCCCCTGGGGATAGCATGGTCACTGGACCCCCCAGAGGCTTTCCTTGGCAGTGCTGCAGGCAGAGTGAGACTGGTATTTCACAGAGGAGGGAAGAAGTATGCTTGGAGAACTTTCCATTTGCTTCGCATGTTCCCTACCCATCAACAGCCAGCAGTCTGTTTCCAGAGACTGAATTTCATTTCACAGCCCTTTAAAATTCTCATTTCGGTGAAAAAAGGATTGCATGTTTTTGAAATCACCTTAGCTTTCTGCTGGAGAGAGGGCATTTCAAAAGCAGGAGTAGCAGAGAATAGATCCACTCTGGACGCCTTCCCCCCTGGAGTGACCCTTCTGTAGCACCTTCCTCTTGTGCATTCCACTTGACTCATCATGTCTTTGGAAGGACAGCTTCCCAATGCCTTCCTCCTCCCTCTCGGATTAGCCTTCCTTCATAAAATGCTGCTCCAAGCTCCTCCTGTTCCTACTGAAAACACCTCTCCCGGTTTAGGACCTAAAGCCCAATTATGCATTTGCATTTCGCCACTGCTGCCCCCAAACCCCCAGTCTGTCCCCACAGCTGTGCCCCTCACTGTCCTGCTCTGTGAACTCCCAGGTCGGCCTTTGCGCACTTCCACACCTGCCCCTAGTGTTCCTTCATCTCTGCTTCTCCTTCCAGTCTCCTCCGACCAGAACGTCTTCTGGAATTTTCTCCAACCCCCCAGAGTTGTATGAAATTCAAAATTTACCCCAACTCTGTTTCTCTAAGAGATTTCCCCAAGAAACTGCCCTGAGACACCTGCTCTCTGCTCTCAGTCTGATAGCACTTAGTCTGCTGGCCGTCACTTTATGAGAAGGTGGTTCTGTTTCCCAACTAGAGAGACCCTGCTCTCTGCAGGAGGGGCTGTCTCTTGTAGTCTGCGGTGGCTTCACGAGTAATTAGCACATGTGACATAGATTTGTGTGGGCCTTTCTTGTTGAAAACTGTCCACAGATTCTCATATTTAAGTTTTACAATCATCCTAATTTTATAGAGAAAAGAAGTGACCTGTTTTTTGTTTTGTTTTTGTTTGTTTTTTGTTTTTTAAATCACGCTTAGTGCTGTCAGACGTAGGGCTTCTAGCTCCGTCGCTGGCTTCTTAGTGCAGTGTCCTGAACGCTTGACTTCAGGTCATCGAGTGTCCCCTTTGCCCCTACCCTGGCACTTTTGTGAGAAGAAATGACTGTTTTCTGAGATGGTGGCTGAGTCTAGAGATGCTTTCTTTAAGAAACCAAATTCTAAACTTTTGAGTGTTGGAATTTACAAAAATTGTTTCGAGTTTACGGAAAATGTTTCTGCTGTCATATAGTCTTTCCCAAAAGGTAGATATTTCTTAGTGAATTAAAAATGAAAGCAAGTTGCTGTTTTGGTCTAGGACACGGTTTTTTAAAACGTGATGATAGTCCTTAGAGAAACCCTGGAAAAATGCAAAGCCACGTTCATGTGCCATTTGCTGAGGGGCACGGGCACCATTTTTAGAAGTTGTATGAACATGGACAGGCCCTATGTTTTTTTTTTATTTTTTATGCTTAATGCTATGGGTGAACACAGTCTTATATAGCATATTTTTTCCCCCTGAAAGCAGTTAGAGCCAGACAGAAACAGAGTTGAATGCTTTGCCTCCTCTCTTTCTACCTGCTTTTTCTTAAATTCAATCTGACAGCATCACGGAATAGTGCTGTTTTGAGACTGTTGTTGTTGTTGTTGTTGTTGTTTTTAAAAAACTGCCTTATTTTTATTTGCCAGCATATACACGAACTGTAGCCAGAAGTCTGTGGGGCTCGGGCAGGGGGGCTGTTATGCCCCCAAAAGGCCTATCAGATGCTTAAAACGTATTATATTGCTGATCATTTTTAGTCTGTCATCTGTAAAATATACTTGCTGTGTAGTGTCACGAAAGCCAATTCCGAACATTAGACTTAGCAGCAAAGTTGGCCAGAAAGTAAGGAGCGGGGAGAACAACCAAGAATTACCAGCGGCATTTGCACCTGGAATTTCTGGAGGGACAAGAATCAGGGGATGTGCCCTGGGACCAGGAGGAGCCCCAACAGGAAAGTGCATGTCGCCTGTCACTCCCAGTCCTTCCAGGGGGGATTCCGGGGGAAGGCGCTACACTCCTAGTTCCCTGGGAACTTCCTTTGTTTTATTGTTTTCCCTGAAAACCTCTTTTAAGCTCTTCCTTTCAGGCCTTTCCCATTAATTAGATTTTACTGCATTATCTGATGGTAATTTTTTTTGTTTGTGTGAGTGTTTAAAGGAGAGTTTGCCATAAAGCATTTCGCTTCCAGTTGTCAAAAACTGGCTTAGCAGAATTTATATCTTCCTTCTTCCACCTCCCTTTGTTTATTTGCAATAACAGAAAAGGTAGTGAGCCATTTTTCTCAGTGCTATTTTTGATAAATTATATTTTTATCGGTTAATGATGAAGGGTTTTTAAAAACGTGTTTGTACAATTCTAAGCAGATACCAAGTATTTTTATATAGTAAAACACCAGATTCATGTACAGCATGTATCACTGATCGATGGACTGTACTTGTTTTCCAATAAAATTGGCAAAAGCTGGTATTGAGAATCCTCATTAAAATCTGTTTCCATGCCAGCCCTGCCCTGGGCTTGCTGGGTCACACTCCCAGGTCTGATGTAGGGTGAGGACACCTTCTGTCTGGGGAATTCAGGGTCCACGAGCCAGCCAATGAGCTCTGGATCCCATCTCTAGCCTCAACTCTACTCCATTTGTTTGCTTGCTTCTAAAATGGATTAAAATGTGAGTTTTATTACCGTTAACACTTTATGAGTCCAAAAAAGACAAGGGCAACATCTGTATGGACTGTTCCACATTTTGCAAAAGGTTTCGTTGAGTTCCTCCTTTGACCCAGGAGGTGAACACAATTGGCCAACGTGTCCACAATGCAAGCTCACCATGCTCACAAACTCTAAAGATCAGAGAGCCCTCTGCATGGTCGGTGCTGTTCTGTTCTCGCTTCAGAGAGATTCTCAGCAAGCAGGGGGGCTCTGGTGGCACCTGGTGAGCCAGCCTGGGGAGGCAGGTCAGCCTGGGGTCTGAGGACCCATCTTAGATCCTGCCTCGGACTCGCTGTGCAAATTTGGACAAACTATTTGAGCCCCAGTTTCCTCACCTATAAAATGGGTATAATATCTAATTCACTGAGTTGTGTAAGGGTTAGAAAGATGAAGTACATTCTGACAGGCAAAGTGCCTAGCGTGTAGCGGGCCCTCAGCAAATGGGAGTTTGCTTAGTAGTCATTCTGTGAATACGCCTGGTTACCTCACGTCATATGGGAATCTGCAAATAGAGTGGAGAGAGAAGAGTAATAAACCAGAAGTGGCAACTGACACCAAGGAGGAAGTAAAGCAATCAGAAAAATAAAGTACAAGTGGCCAGATAGAGCTGCGTGACACCGAGGCCAGGAGCCCTGCTCCCCTCAGCCATGGCATCTCTGTATCACCGAGGGGTGGGGACTGGTGTTCATCCAAGCTGACCCTCTGCTGACAGTGGGCTTTAATGGGTGTCTAATGTCTAAAGAAAGGGAGTCAGGGGCGCCGGGGTGGCTCGGCCGGTTGAGCGTCTGACTCTTAATTTTGGCTCCGGTCGTGATCTCACAGTTCTTGAGTTCAAGCCCCGTGTTGGGCTCTGTGCTGACAGCATGGAAGCTTCTTGGGATTCTCTCTCTCTCTCTCTCTCTCTCTCTCTCTCTCTCTCTCTCCCTCCCTCCTCCTCTGGCCCCGTGCCCCATGCTCTCTCTCAAATAAAAAACATTATTTTTAATTAAAAATTTTTTAAAAAGTAAAGGGGTTTAACACATTCCTGAAGGATTTTTCAATAAAAATGAAAAAAAAAAATGCAAGAACTTCAGAAAATTTCAGAATCAGCTATCCAGAAAACTTGCTTATACAGAATTTCTCACTGGAAAAATTCAGAGGCTTTTTAGCATATTTTGGTTATTTTACCAGTTAATGTATTTTTTAGCAAACAACACAAAGTCAAGGCTAACAACCATTCAAAAAAATCATTTAGAAGTGTTTTGTTTTTGTTTTTGTTTTTTTGGTCATGAGGATTTTTATTCTCTTTACTAAATAACTTCCTTAGAATAGGGTTTTTTGTTTTTCTGTTTTCTGGGTGTTTTTGTTTGGTTGGGTTTGTTTTTGTTTTTGTTTTTGTTTTTGTTTTTTTTTGTTTGTTTTATTTTGTTTTGTTTTTGTCTCTAGAAATGTTTCTCAGTAAGGGTGCCATCTGGTGGAAAAAACATGAATATAAATTCCTGCACTGTCGCAGTTTTGAAACTAGAGCAAAGCACTTCGTTGTTTTGTGCCTCCTGTTTGCTCATTTGTGAAATAGGACAACCTAGGAAACCTGTGTTTCAAGGTTTTTATATGTGGAAAGACCCTGTCTGGTGTCTGAGAAAGAATCCCAAGATACATTTTTTAAAAATTTTGCCTTTTGTTCAATACATATAAAACAAATTTAGTTTTAATTTTTTGGATTTTTTATTTCAGAGAGTGGGAGGGAGAGAGCACATGGGGGGAGAGAAAGAATCTCAAGCAGGCTCTACACTCAGCATGGAACGCAAGCTAGGGCTTGATCCACAACACTGGGATCAT